ATATAACATATTTATCAGCAGACTCAAACTATATATAGTTGTTGCTGTTATGTGCTGTCAAGTCAGATCTGAATCATAGTGACCCCTCCTTGGGTTTCCGAGGCAGTTTCACTACGGAAGTAGATTGCCCCATCTTCCTTCCGAATATATGACACAACACTGTGTTGTGCCGGCTGTTTAGAACCAAAGAAACATTATTGACATATAAAATTTAATTCAAAGAAAATTTGGCTCGTCTCCTGATCTGATGACATTTTTTACATAATTCATAGTATAATAAATAAACCTTTTCAGCACTTCTCCCTTTACAAAACAAAAAGAAATATTTTTGGTTGCCTTCCTGGGAAGTTTCAAAATTATCAGAATTTTATTTTACATTACAAAGAAACAGTGCTTGTTATTTAAGTTCAATATTTTAAATGTGAAAACCTTGGTATTGAACTAAAACCGTGTGGTTTGGTTTGACTTAGGAATCTTATTCTAATGAAAACCTGAACACTTGCTTTTGAGGCACTTTACATAAAGAATAAATTGACACTTTAACCCAGTGATCAAATAAAATTGTTATTTTAACCGTAAGGTATTGAGTTCTCTGCTTTATATGTTAATTGGTACTAATCGTTCTTAGAAATCTTTTAAATTAATTCATCAAATTTTATCTAGACAGATTAAACTTGGTTATATTAAATAAATTCCTTTTCTTCGTAAACATTTAATTTCTTTTATAGCTCTTTAAGTGGTTTAATTAACATATTTATCAGCAGACTCAAATATATGTGTGTGTGTGCATGTATATATGCATAAGTGTGCATGTTTCTGTGTCATAAAATGGGAGCTCTGGTGGCGTAGTGTCTAAGGCACTTGACTGGTAACCAGAAGGCTGGAGGTTCAAACCCACTAGCTACTCCTTGGAAGGAAGGATGGGCAATCTACTTCCATAGTGATACTGTCTTGGCAACCAAAGGAGAGGTTGCTGTGAGTTGGGGCCGACTAGACGGCACATAACAACAACAACATGTGCTGGCAACCCAGGGATGTGCTAAGCCCGATAAGTCCCTAGAGAAAGGAAAGGAGAAGGTTTATGCAAGGGCCTTATACTTTTCATCCACTAAATGGCAGACTTGTCACAGTCAAATTTCCTATCAAAATGTTCAGACCATGAGCAGAAAACAAAAGAAAGCAGCCTTTTAGACCATGAGTTAGAAAATAAGGATACAGAAAACAAAAGATGGATGAATGTTAACACAGGATACAACTAGTCAGTGGTAATCTTGTGACACCCAAACTGCAGATGAAAACAAACACCCACAGAATTGTTCAGCCAGGAATAACAAAGTAAAAAATGGAGAAGAACAGCTTCAATAAATGCCTAACAAACTGTGCTGAAATGCTTGGTGTTCGGTTCAGGAGGAACTCACCTCAGACAGACCCTAAGAGGTCCAAGAAAGTTGGGAAACTCAAGGGGCCCCCTGTTGGTGGTTTTTAAGTTCCAGGAAATAACTCCAAATCCTGAAAGATTAGACCAAAATCTGGTAGAGAAAAAGTTTTTAACTCTGTGAAAGGAAAGGAAACTGATTTATTGAAGCCAATATGTCATTCAAATGGGCAATCATGAAAACCTCAGTGTTTGAAGCTCATGAATCTCAGGAAGGGGCAGATAATTCTATTCACACATAATTCTACTACCATAAGAGGAAATATGAAGTATTTTGATTGATTACAGTGATTGAGTCAGTCAAAGTTGGGACAAAGCAAAGTGTGACCTTTAACATTATTGGTTTTGTTAATACAATTGGATACATTAATTGACTAATAGACACAATTGCAAATGTTTGTTATTTTCTGAGATGGTTATAGGACTGTCTCAAAACAACAACATGACTATGACATGATGGGCACTGTTGGAAACAGATTATTAAACATCACCTTGCTCAGTGCATTAGATCTCTTGGAGAAATAACACAAAAGTGTTTGATAAAGTTTGGTTACAGATTTACAGTCTTAGCCTAACTACAAAACCTAATAATAGGGTTGGTTTCTAAGCAATAGATTGAAGCTATGTTAAAGGTTAACTTAGAACTTTATAATTGCTTCAGCTATTTTTATTTTACATCAGACATCTCTTTTTGATTTTATATCCCATATCAGTTATTAGTCTGGTAATTTTCTAATATATTTATATTTTTGTTGTTTATATTTAGCTCTTTAATCAACCTGATTTTTTCTTCTTCCATGAAGTACGGTAGGCAACAAATGTATTTTATTTGCATGATGCTCCAGTAATTTTATTCTTAAATTCTAAATTTTCTACTCTGATTTGAAGTACCATCATGATATGTCAGTTTCCAGAACACAATTAAGAAAGACTCAATATGACTATAAATTTGCCAGTTTCTCTATGTTGTGCTGTTAATTTTACTACATATTTTGGATCTATGTTGTTAAGTAGATAAAAATTTATAAATTGATGTTGGGGGAGCACTGGTAGCACAGTACCTAAGGCATTTGACTGCTAACCAGAAGGCTAGCAGTTCAAACCCACCAGCCACTCCTTGGAAGGAAGGTCGGGCAATCTACTTCCGTAGTGATATTACCTCAGAAACCCAAGAAGAGGTCATTATGAGATGGATCCAGTTCAATAGCACTGAGTTATATAGACTTGAGATTCAGAAAGATTAATTAACTTAAATGTTTGTGTTTGTTTATCCTACTAGCTCCTTTACTTTATTTTTCTTATTTTTAATTGCAGTTTGGTTGAAAGGTTACAGAGCACATTAGTTCTTCATTTAGCTGCACTATTTCTGAAGTGAATAAAAAATCTAGCAAAATTTACACTTGCTCAGAACAACCTTAAAATTTGCACCTTGATAATTCATTTCATCCTAGATATCTGAATTCCAAAGTTTCTCAAGTTTGGTTGTGGTTGTTATGTCCCATCAAGTCGGACCTGACTCATGGCAACCCTCCTTGGGTTTCCCAGGTGATATCACTATGGAAGTAGATTGCCCAATCTTCCTTCCGAGGAGTGGCTGGTGGGTTTGAACCACCAGCCTTCTGGTTAGCAGTCAAATGCTTTAGGCAATACTCTATCGGACCTCCTCTAGTTTGGTTAATAGTATGAAAAAGCCATTACCAGTGATAGTTTTCATCTATAGTTTCTAAAGGGGACACTTACTAAATTCTTACTGTCTCATTACTTGTCAAGTGCCCAGACAGTGTTGAAGTTGAAGGCAATTTACTGTCCAGTGGAGGTGACACGTAATGTTTCCCTTATGCACAGTTTTTGTTAATGTGCCATCTCTTTAAGCTTTCTTTAGACTTCATTGGTTTATGATATATCATACCTAGAGGTGAAACCAAGGGGTAAGAACTATAAAGAATGAGATATGAATATATGATTCTCTTATTAGACATGGCCATAGTTACCTGGTAACAGGCTGAAAGAAGAAGCACTGGAGATGGTGGGCAGGTTTCTGAACTAGTATCCTCCTTAGTTCTGACAATGATATGAGTTTCATTTTTACAGCATCTATTAAACCCCTATTATTAGTCGTCCACTTATTCACAATTTTCTGGTGTTTTTTTTTTTTTTTTTCCCCTTAAATGCACATAGAGTACCAAAAAACCAAACTCACTGCCAGTTTGGTTTTTTGGTATGTTTTAGTCTATGTGCATTTAGTGAAACAAAAAATTATGAATAAAGAAAATTGTAAAAAAAGAAAATTGTCAGAACTAGGGAGGATACTGGTTCAGAAAACTGCCCATTCTCTCCAGTGCTCCAAGTGACCACCCTCTTGAATGGAGCTTATCTAATCACAGGGAGAGTTGAGGTGGTAGCACACTCAAAACATGAAAAACAAGATACAAGTTTTGTATCTACCATTATTGTGATCGGGTGTACTAGTAAAAACTGACTTTTTGGTAAATTTCCATACTTAACTACAGCGTGATAGCCCCCTCTCACTACTTATCCTCAGCTCATCTCTGCACATGTGATTCCTCACAGTATTCCAAAGTGGAAAGGCATCCTGTGACGGCATTGGAGAAAATGATGGAGTCAAGTTTTGCTGGCCCCCAGTCCTTCCCAGAGATACCTTCTCATGACAGAGGAAGCCAGTCTGTCAAACACCACAGGTACAGGTAGCACCTAATCATTGTGGGAGTGGGTGCATTTATGCTATATATAACAGATAACACATAACAAGGATGGTGACATTATGCAGGAAAGATGATACTTCTTGCTTCTCCTTTAGCTCTTCATGAAGCAAAGTCTTGAACACATCACAGCAGGTAAACCAAAGATGCCAGCTTCACCAACCTGATGGCAATGTCCCTGTACAATGTGCAATGTAATAATTAACAATACCTCTCAAAACTATAGATGTTGACCAATGAATAAAACAAAACATTCTAAAAACATAAGATTAAAACTATTAAAAACATGATTTTTCTTACCCTGCCTCATCTCCCTTTGCAAAGTTAATGATTAATTTTCTCTAGGCAACTGCAGTTACATGCTTCAGGTTCTCACACAAAGACTACTTTCCAGAGGAAAAAGCCTAGCAAATCTTCTCCTTGGTCTATATGGACTTCTATTATCATTGGGGTGACACTCTTATGAGCTGACCACATAATTGACTCTTATGTAGAAAAAGCCAAAAACAAAAAAAATATATATTTGATAAAATTTGTGTCATTTTGAAGATGAATAATGGGTCTTTAGCATCTCCTAATACACACCATATGTTCTATAGGTGAGAAATCTGAAACTCTGAGATTTGAAGGCATTTGTTCTAGACCAAATGGCAATTTGGAACTAATGCTAGAACCAATGTGTATGTGTATCCAAATATATATCTCATTTTTCACAGAAATTTCTCAAAGTATTAAGCTTCCTTTTCTTAGTGAGAAATATGGTACTTAAAAAAAATACATACATAATTAAAATATGAAAAAAAATAACACTTGTTCCTAGGAGTGAAAACTTAATGTTAGCGACCCTTTGTATTCACATATTCCTCTCAAACTGCACACCATCACAGTGTACATGTTAGCCCACATTTTCCTTGCTTCTCATTGAACATATGGGAAGTTTTACTGTTTTGGACTGTATTTACTTTCAAGTGGTAATTTTTATTTGTATTTTAAATAAGGAGAGTGAAATATTACAGATTTGCCAAATTTAAAAAAAAATGGTTTAAATATCTTAACCTCAGGACTGAAATACACTTGGTTCTTGGATAATTGTTTTAACTATTAATGGTAAGTTTTAGTTTACATCAGTTATGGCATTTACAGAATATTTTCTTGGGAATGGAATATTTCATTTTACTAGGCCTAATGGAGAGAGCTCTGGTAGCATAGTGCCTAAGGCACTTGAGTGCTAACCAGAAGGCTGGCGGTTCAAACCCACAAGCCACTCCTTGGAAGGAAGGTTGGGCAATCCTACTTCCGTAGTGATACTGCCTCATAAACCCAAGGAGGGGTGCTATGAGTTGGGGCTGACTCAATGGCAAATAACAACAACAGCAACAGGCCTAATGGAAGTTCTCTTAATTAGGGAAAGAGGCCCTAAATTACCAGCCTTTAAAAAGACAGATATTTTCTCCAAAACAGTATTTTCCTCTGTTGATTATATATTAAAGTTGTATTCGACCCAGTGAAATAAAATTCAGTATAGTGTTTCTCTAGTAGTACATTGTGCCATGGCAATTGTAAAGTTAAGATTAAAAAAAAACAAAACAGCTTCTAAAATATTTGAATGGTAGTCTCTTTTCTTTCCCACTGATTGGCAGTTTATATATCCCCTCCTAAATTTGGATTCTTTGGTGTCTAGCAGTTACTCAGATTAAATCAAAAAGTATTGAAGTGACCTTCCTTTTTGTTTGGTTCAATGACAATGGAATATTTGTTGGCCTACATTTGTCCTTATAGATAAGCAAAATTTGATTTATAAAGTGCTTTTAGAACTTTGTAAATTATGGTTTAATATATCATAGCTTTTGTTTTGTAAAACATACAGTAGACTTAAGCATTTTCATGATTAATAACCCAGATACTGATTTATGTACCCTGCAAACTGCTCCCTAACTTCCTGAATGCCACTGGGATGGAAGACTTAAATAACTGATTGATCAGTAGGTATGGAACTATCTTTTTAGATAGGTTACCAGTTCATATTGGTAAACTTTTGTCTTGTGATAGTTTAACAAGCTATGAATAATTTATTTCTTTTTGTGCACTGCAAATATAACTTATTTGGATAATTCATTTATGAAACAAAGCTATTAATTTATTGCCAATTTTTTCAGTTTAATAAAAAATAAAAACCTTTATTAGGAAGGAATTTTGATAGCATATCATATTTTTGCATTATATTTGTCAATATGACTCATAAAAAACACATACGTAGGCTTTTTACAGTGAAAAAAAAAAGTTTTTAGTGATTACTATCATCCTTTGAGTTGTCAGTTGTAGTGGAGGAACCAGGGGAAATTTACCTTGTTGAGCACCTACTATAGACCAGTCTCCCTACAAGCCACTTTACATGCCTTATTTTGTTTAATCTCAGTAATAATGCTATGGAAGCACTTAACAATGGTGCTGATATTGTCTTTTTCCCTCCAGCCCTAGCTTCTATCTTTCGCTGTACTGCTGTGTACAATCAGAGGTCAGCAGTCTCCCCTTTTCTATGGCCACTGTTGGTTCCAACAGTGTGAGGCACTGGCAGGAGGTATAAGGGGAGAGGGAAAAAGATAGGTCATCATACTTTGACTCCTTTCTCTGCTTGGTTGTTTCACCTCTGACTCTTTTCCTGAGGTCATGGCACTTGCCAGATAATCTTCTCCTTACTTTCTCCTCACTTTCTTTCTGCATTCTGGTATCTACTCCATTTTCTTGTCCTTTCTTTCCAAGCGATAGGAATGACTTCCCATTTTCACTAACCCTGGGGCATAGTAGTATCTCTTCTACTTCTTTTTTTTTTTCCCTTGGATGCTGCACACATCTTTGTAAATACTAAACTCTCCTTAAAAACCTCGATTTGAGAGTGCCATCTCTCTCCCTCCAAGATTTTAACTGACACATGTGCCTCCCATAATAACATGCTGCTATTAACATAAAGACCTAAGAGTCAAACCCAGAGACAGCTAACTCCATCACCCAAGGCTTCATGCCCTGATGTCTACATTATTGCCATTGTATGAAGTAAGTAGAAAAGGAAGTGAGGGAAAGAGATTAGCTACTAGAGAGCTCCTTTAACTTTTTACCTTAGTGACTTAACTAGATGTCCCTCGTAGTTAGGCATTTTAGGACTCAACAGGTTCATTTGTAAGGTCCTAAATATCATAATAAAGAATGAAAGCATAATAATGTTGTCAACTATGATCCAGTGTTTACACAAACTCAACAAGTTAAAGTTGACTTGAGGAATGTAAGATTTTGTCAGTCACCTTGCCAGTATCAGGGAAATAACTATTTACATTTAAATGTCACTTTCTCAAATTCTGACATGAAATAATATTTGAGAAAGATATGAGAAACTTCTGTTTTGTATTTCTCAAGTAGAAATAATAATATTATTGGTGGGACAAGAGTTACAGAACTGCAAATAATGTAGTAATATGAGTAATGTTCTTTTCTGGGACTGACCCCTTTAGAACTTGATAGTATATTGAAAATTAGTAAATGGTATTCATCTTTCTCTATATAGTTGTGTTGATATTTTCAGGTTAAATGAGGATCCACCCAAAATTCTTATTTCACTTGTTATTTGAACATTACAGAATCAGAGTGACCATATACTCTGGCATTCTTTGTCATGTCTACACAAAATATCTAAATTCTCACTAGTACATGAAGTCATTGGAGTGAATCCAGTTGGACAGAGGTGGTAATGGGTATGAAATAGGCAATAATTCAAAATAGCAATAGATTTTTATAGAGTCTAATATTTCTGTTTTGTATGATTCATGTAGTGGCTTCACCTTGCTAGGACTTAAGGTATATCCCATTTTATGCCTTTTGCCCTTGGATGACAACTGTCAAAAATAATCAAATCTCAAAGAAATAGAAGCATAACTTTTATTTTGAGTAGTTATTGTACATGTATTGGAAAATTGGGCAATCTACTTCTGTAGTGGTACCATCTCAGGAACCCAAGGAGGGGTCGCTATGATTCTGATTCTAGAAAAAAGTAAAATGGCTCAAAGTTAGTTAGTTACAATGAAGTTTGTGTATAGAGAAAAAAACAAACAAGTCAAAACCAACTCATAGCAAATGATAGGACAGAACAGAACTGCCCAATAGGATTTCCAAGTCTAAAAATTTTTATGGAAGCAGACTGCTTCAGTTTTCTCCCATGGAGCTGCTGATGGGTTTGTACTGCCAACTTTTACTTAGCAGCACAATTGTTTAACCACAGCACCACCAAAGCTTCTTTATAAAGAGAAGAGCAGGGAAAAGAATAGAACATTAATAATTGGTTAACATGATTGATTGAACCCTGCCCTCCTCCCTTTACTGAGATCAACTGATAACAGGTTACCTCTGGTCTGGCTGTTAATGATTTGGCCTCTTTCACAGCCACTCCTCAGAAGGAAGATTGAGCAATCTACTTCCAAATAGATATTGCCTTGGAAACCTAAGGAGGGACTCTATGAATTGGAAAAGACTCCATGGCAGTGAGTTTGTTTTTTAAGTTCTTTTTGACCTACCTACAGCCAAGAAGGGTGTTCTGGTGGCGTAGTACCTAAGGCACTTGATTGCTAATCAGAAGGCTGGAGGTTCAAACCCACCAGCCACTCCTCTGAAGGAAGTTGGGGCAATCTACTTCTGTAGTGATACTGCCTCGGAAACCCAAGGAGGAGTCACTATGAGTCGAGTCCAACTCGATGGCACTTAACAACAACAACACAGCCAAGAAACTCCAAGGAAGGGTCGATATGACTTGGAAAAGACTTAATGGCAGTGAGTGGGTTTTTGAGTTCTTTTTTGACCTACCTACCTACAGTCAAGAAACTGTTTGGAATTTAAATTCGGAGAACTTGGAGTCTTTTTTCATTAAACCAAGTGGTGATGGTTTTGTTGATTATCATTTTTAGCAGGAAAAGACAAATTTACATTGCTACAGAGCAACTTCTGGCAGGTTTTTACAGCTTGCATCAAGCTTTTTAGGGTTAATATTTGGTTTTGCACATTAAAAGATCCTTAAGAAGTCTGTTATTAATTTTGCTCTTTAATGAAACATAATTATTTTGGTATTTTTATATACAAGTCAAATACAAAATATAAGGAAATGTTTATTAAAAGCAAACTTAAAAACAATTTAGTTTCTCAAGATTGATGAAAATCACTAGTAATGAACTGAGAATTTAACACATAAATTAAGAAGAGAATGTCAATTAAAGTTATTTAATCCATCACTAACACAAGTGAAAAATTCCCCCATAAATCCTTTTAGGGCTTCCTGTGTTTAGTTTTTATCAAAATCAAACCAAACTCACTGCCTTTGAGTTGGTTCTGACTCATAGCAACCAGTTCACTTGGGTTTCCCAGGTGGTATCTCTACAGAAGTAGATAGCCCAGTCTTCCTTTCAAAGAGTGGCTGCTGGGCTTGAACTGCCAGCCTTAGGGTTAGTGGTCAAATTAATTTGGCACTATACCACCAGAGTTCTTATCAGTGTCTAATAAAAATGGACATTTTTATTCTAATAGGCAGAGAGCTACTGTGGCTTGAAAAATCAGGCTTCCATTGGATTCCAATCTGGGTCTTGAGAATTCCTTAAGCTGACCTCTTACCTTTAGCTAGAAAGTTGAGTTGTGGTCTAAACTGGAAAGCCAGAACACAGAAACTTCTCTGTCTCGGTGTCTCCAAGGACAAAGTGGATTTAATCATTCCAGATTCAATTCTACCACCTACACTATATTCCATGGATGCCTTTCTGGCCACCTCTTTGAATATCTGGAGTTTAAATGTGATCTTTGATAAGAGCAGCCTCTGGTAAGGTTATTGCTATGATTTCCTTGTTGATTTTCTTTAATCCCAGCAGGAGTTTCTCCTCTTGCTGTAGCCCAGGGCAAAGGAATGGGATGCTACATGTGAATGCCTTCAGAAGGACACCCCCCTTACCCCAAAGTCGAAGTCGACTGGGTGGAATCATGGGACCAGCATATCAACAACTGGAAGAATCAAGGATCCCAGACCAGGATGCAATACCTTGCCAAGGGTAGGTCTTAAAGACAATGGAATTTATGGAGAGTGTCATTAATGTTATAGCCTTAAGTTGAATTATATTGTTTATTGGGATTTTTTCAATGTTTTTTTCATAATTTATTTATACTTACTACTTCCTTGTCCCACACAAAGTGAGCTGACTTAGGAGAATATGTATGACACAGAATTAGGAAGATATTAGCTTGATAAAAAGTATAAAACTAGGAAGAAAGTAAGTGTACAGATATCTAAGATATGTAGGCAATATATTAACATGCAGTTACTGAAACAAATAGAAATTTATCTTTGAATTTTAAAAAAGAGAGGTCTCCTATTAGGAAAAAAAACAAACCTACTGCCATCGAGTCAATTCCTACTCATAGCGACACCCATCGGGTTTCTGAGGTGGTAAATCACTATGAAAGTAGATTGTCAAACCTTCCTTCCAAGGAGTGGTGGGTGGGTTTGAACCACCAACTTCTGGTTAGCAGTCAGATGTCTTAGGCACTATGCTACCAAAAACCAAAAAAACTCAAACTCACTGCCAGGGAGTCCGACCCAACTCATAGCGACCCCTCCTTGGGTTTCTGAGATGGTATCATTACAGAGGTAGATTGCCCAACCTTCCTTCTGAGGAGTGGCTGATGGGTTTGAACAGCCAGCCTTCTGGTTAGCAGTCAAATGCTGTAGGCACTAAGCCACCAGAGCTCCTATATATACAACCTTTACTTCCATGGAGAATACTTGAATGCGTCCAAGTCATTGTTGAAAATGAAAAGTCTGCTGAATTCAGACCTCCTGGTTCATTGAGAGTATAGGAGTTGGAGGGTGGGCTTCCAAGTCACCATTGACTTCTGCTCATCCTTACAATGAACAAGATATCCTTTCCTCCAGGTGGACACAGACACTCAATGGGCACATGGCATGGTGAGTAAAGAGTAGAATGTTAACCACTAGTTACCTGCTAAGCATAAACCACTCAGGCCCTTTTGGCACCTCTTACTTAAGTGAACTTGAGTTCAAATCCCATCTATGCCCCTTCCTACTTTGTTAATTTGAGAAAGTTTTATCATTTGAGGTTAAGTTTTCTCATCTTTATAGAACAAAACAATGCTAGTCTCTATGAGGGGTGTTGGTAATATTAAAAAATATCTATAGATAATCATGTCAGTGTGTGTGTGGATGTATGTGCTTAAACAGCTTAAGCATGGCACATGGTAAGTAGAGAAGTTCAGATTTTTTTTTTTTTTCACGTGAATGATCATAGTTTTTCATTAATTTTAAGAGCAATAAAATTGTGCTTGCTCTATTGGAGTAAGTTCAGTAAAGATTTCTTTAGAAAGTCTAGAGGATAGGAAATAAATAGCCTGTGGCTTTGTTTGTAATTTTGAGGCAATTCCAAGTAGACTGTAAAATGCATTTCGTACACATCTGGAGTGACAGCTGCAAATTCAACATAGCAGCCAAGTTTTTCAAAAAGTATAATGGAAATTAAGAAGCAGTTTGTCTTATTTCTGAAAAGAGATTACACTTATCCTATAATTGCTGCTAATAATGTTAAATACACACACACACACACACACACACACATATATATATATATATATATATTTTTTTTTTTTTTAATCACTGATGATTTCTGCCCTTGACTGCTAACCCATGAGCCACTCCTCAGAAGGAAGGTTGGGCAATCTACTTCTATAGTGATACTACCTCAGAAACCTAAGGAGAGGTCACTATGAGTCAGTCCAACTCAATGATACATAACAACAACAATGATTTCTGCTAGTTAGGAATGTATATATATTTCCCTTTGCTAAAGGAGATGAAGATGTTGGGCAAAATCTGCTTGTAATATCTGGGATGAATGCTAGAGTGAGAGTGTGTGAGAGGGAATCAAGCTTGGGAATTTTGTGAATGGAGAGGAATGCAGTCCATGCTGCTTCTCTTTCTGTTAGGGACTGGCATCATCTTCCCCTGTGTCCCCAGGGTGAACATGTTTTGAACCTATTCTTGCCCCAGGCTTGAACCACACATTCACATAGCTTCAGGTGGCCAGAGATTCCCACTGATTTTTTTTTTTTTTTTTTTAACCTCCTGATACCGGCACCTATTGTCTGTGTGCTGATGGTTTTATTTGGTTCAATCACCATTGGGTTAAAAATACTCTTTACTGATTACTGGCCACATGTATTTTCCCTTTGTGTGATATGCACCAGATGTTGATAAATGGTAATTCTAAGTATAAGACACTATGTGCTCCACACAATGAGTGGCAGGAAGCAATTTCATTCTCAGTTCTGGAAAATAGCTATTTTCCACTCCTGGGGGACTGGACGCTTCCCTATACTGAAAATGGGATTGGTAATAGAATTTCACAGCTAAAGGCCCCCTTCAAATCTAGTCCTACCCTGGGGATGGTGGAGCTGGGTGGTGAATGGATTTTCAAGAGCCATCAGCCTTCTTTGTTTGTCAAGCTGTGGGTATTTTCTGCTAGTTAGGATCCCCAAGTGTATGTGGCTTCTGTCATTGGCATTAACTTCAGCCCAGGTTAACCTCATTAGCCATATTAGTGTAGCCTAGAGAAGGAATCAGATGTAAGGGGGATTCTTGGGGAGTTCCTCTCCTAATTGTAGCCCTGGACTGACAAATCAAATGCTTTAGGCACTATGCTACCAGAGTGTGTGTGTGTATATATATATATATATATATATATAAAATAAGTAATATGTAATACTTAATATGTAATATATATATTGCTGTTGAGTCAATTCCCACTCATATTGACCCCATAGGATAGAGTAGGGTTTTCCCCATGTTGTTGTTGTTGTTATATGCTGTCGAGTTGGACCTGACACTTAGCGACCCCTCCTTGGGTTTCTGAGGCAATATCACTACAGAAGTAGATTGCCCTATCTTCCTTCCAAGGAGTGGCTCGTGGGTTTGAACCACCAGCCTTCTGGTTAGCAGTCAAGTGCCTTAGGCACTATGTTACCAGGGTTTCCAAATGTGAAAATCTTCATGGAAGCAGACTGCCACATCTTCCTGTGTAATGACTGGTGGGTTCAAACCTTTGACTTCTCCATTAGCAGCTGAATGCATTAACCACTGTGAAACATAATTACAGAATAAATACACTTGTGATTTCTCTGGTGAATTATGAGAGGAATTCAATGAATGACACACTCATGGATCAAACTTGCGAAAGCATCATTTTCTGTCAAAGGGATACAGAACTCTTCTGACTTAGAGTCATATGTAGAAATTTACTTTTCAAATAATCTTCTGGAGGTTAGTAATATTCAGCTTCTATTTGAATATCCAATGCTTCAGCACTCACAAAAATTCTCTGAAAGACATAAGGATTCCAGATGGACCTATGATTAAACAGTGTAAAAGCATTATTTCAATTAATCCTCACAGCAACCCCTTGAAGTTAGTATTATTGCCTGGGTGTTTTCATTGATGAAAAAATTAAGGGTCAGAGAGGATGTTATGTGTCTGACATCCCAGGGCACGTAACAGCATTGGGACTTGAAATCATGTCTGATACCAAATAAAAGTCACACTTGTAGAGTTCTAATTGTTTATACCCCATCTTCAGGCCATAGGAATGTGTTAGATTTCAATGATTTCCAGCCATGTGTCCAGTATCTGGATTTTGAGGTAACACACATAAATAATTCACTACAAATTCTTTTTTCATCTAAATCCTTCAGTTTTACAAAGCCCAGGCTGGTTAGACATTCTTGGGTGTGTTTATCAAGCCAATTTTCTCTTCTCTGGTATGTTTTAGTCCATAGTCCTCTCAATTCTGTACTCAGGTGTATTAGACGAATACTCCATATTCAGCTTGAATTGCCTTTGATTATTTCATAGTTATGTAATATTTTTGAATTATTGAAGCTAGTATTTGACACATCATTTAAGATATTTTCAACCTTATCTGACAGTTGTACAAATGATTTTTGGATCCAGGTGGGTGTAAGAATTTGCATTTTTCACCATCACAAACTCTTGGACAGCTAAGTGGAATTTGACTTTATACTAGCTATATTTCTTGGCTCTGTGTAATTGGTAAATCTGGTAGGCAGCTATTCTATATCTTCATACAATTAATGATACTAACAAGATGGCACTGAAGACAGAACATGAGAGATTGAAATTTATCCCCTTTCTTCTTTTTGAAATCGATGAGAAATTTTAGACCCAAATTTTAAGTCACAAAACACAGAAAGAACTGAGATTGCCAAGGAGTTACCTCTATGTGGCTATGCAGTTTGCACAGGTAAAGATTCTACAGCCCTAAAAAGGAGTTCTGAAATTCTTTAGGGTGCCCATTCCTAGCACCCTCTGGTTTGGTAGTAATGGTTAGAATGAGATGAGTTAGTTCAACCTCTTCTTCTGCCACTTAGTAAATATTTACGTTGGGCAAGTCATTTGAATGCCTATTAGCTCTGTTTATTCATCCATTGCATAGTAATAGTAATAACAATAATCACAAGTTTCTCATGAAAATTCAGTGGTGTAATCAAAGGTGAAAGTGCTTTTAAACTACAAAGCACTATGCCAATGTTAGCTGTTGTCATTTAGATTGAAAATGGATATTAACAGGAACATAAAGGAAGTGTTTATCTTGAAGATTTATTCATATAATCATGCATTCATTTCATTTACTGATTGCTAAGTCTGTGCCAGCTATGGAAAGAGGGGAGGAGATTTAGATGCCTAAATCTATTCCCTGTAGTTGTGCACCGTCTGATGAGACAGATTTTTAAATTGCTCCCATTGTGTCCTTATATTTGAGACGTATATATAGCATGCACCACACTCCATTATAATTATTCTGTATGTGTATAAATTTGCTTTATTTAATATATAATATAAGTCAAAGAGAAAGGATTATTATACTGAAGATAAACAGAAAAACCAAACTCACTGCCATCGAGTTGGATCTGACTCATAGCGACCCCTCCTTGGGTTTCCAAGGTGGTATCACTACAAAAGTAGATTGCCCAATTATTTTTAAATGTTAGTATTTAATTGGAGGCCAAATAATTGAGTGATATAATGACAGCTATTGTTCATGTCCAAAAACCACATTTTATGAATCTGTGATATACTTGTCTCACTTTCTGGCACTAAAAAGCACAATGTAGACAAATCCACTAGCCGTGAACAGGTAAGATTCTGAATTCGCTAGATTCTGACATATTCAAATGGCTTGAAATGGCACATTGGCATTTTTGACAAAGTTTTACTCTGTACCAGTAAAACTGCCTTACTTGCCTTCCTTACTTGGTTGGTAAGGAAAGCTGTTATATCGGCAAAGCCCTATGGGGTCCACTTCAAGTCAACTCCAGATGAGCAGAAGAAATGTGTGCCTCCCACTCCTATCCCCAAACTCAGCAATCTGGCAGTGGAGCAGTGTCCCAGTTGAGACTGGATTCAGATCCTCTAAAAGCAATATGAAGCAGAAATACTCAGCCTTATACACACTTGATATTTCATGTTAGGCTTCCTGATTATCTTCAAGGAAGGTCGTCCCAAGAAATCCACTGGACAAAACTAGGGCTAAGAGGGTGATCAAAGTGATGAATAATACCTTTATGGGTTTCCTGTTTGTCACAATGGGAAGACCACACTTACCTGCTCAATCCCTATTTACTTTGTATTCTAGGATAGAGGTCAGGAAGATTATATCCCACCTGCCTATACAGCTGTGGTGTGTTGAAAGCTCCCTGGACTTAAAGTAAGGAGACCTGGGTTTGAGTCTCAGTCTGTCACTTATTTTCTGTGTGACCTTGGACAAGTCACTTCACCTACCTGAGCTTCAGTTTCCTTCTCTGTTTAACTGGGAACATACTCTCCGTCTCATGGGGTTGCTGTGAGAATTCAGTGAGATGGTGCATGTGGAAAGTGATTTTTTGATTGTATATTGCTCTGAAAAAGGGCAAAAAGGTCAGTGGAGAACAGAGTGTATAACTCTTTTGTTTCTTTTTCAGGTATAAATCCAATGGTTTAAAAACCCAACATAATGCATCAATAAATATGCAACTGCCTTCAAGAGACACAAACCCCTATTTTAAAAGTTTGGATCAAAAGGACGTGATGGGATATACATCCACAAGGGCAAGTTCTGTGCCCATCATCCCTTCAGTGGGTCTAGAGGAAACCTGCATGCAAATGTCAGGGATTTCTGAAGTCAAAAAAAGCATCAAATGGTGCAAAAACTCCTATTCTGCTGACCTTGTCAATGTTAGTATTCCAGTCAGTGATTGTCTTATAGCTGAACAACAAGAAGTGAAAACATTGCTAGAAACTGTCCAGGAGCAGATTCGAATTCTGACCGATTCCAGGAGGTCAGATGACTATGAACTGACCAGCGTAGAGACTGAGGACAGGGCGAATGAAAATACAGCCTTTCTCCCCTTAAGTCCCACAGCTAAGTCAGATCGAGAGGCACAATATGTCTTAAGAAATGAAATACAAAGAGACTCCACATCAACCAAGTGACTTGAAATGTAAGAATCTGTGTGTTCTATGTTCTGCTCAACAGAAAAGAGAGGAAATTAAATACAAATAATATGCATTAATTTAAGAGCATCTACTTAGAAGAAACCAAATAGTCTATCACCCTCATATCATAGTGTTTTTTAACAAAATATTTTTTTAAAGGGAAAGAAATGATTCAGGAGGGATAAAGCTTATAACTAAAGCTTTTGGGTAGAATTCTGAATGCAATTTCAGTTTGTCCCAACACTGCCCTCTTTGGCTCTCAGATGATGGATGTGGACAATTCAGACACATAGTCCAACAGCTCCAGTGTCCTTATAAGAAAGCACTGGTGACTACACAGTTTCAAAGAGACAAGCTGTATCCTGAAGGTGCGGGTGCCACTGAGCAGGTGCCTTTTACCATTTAGCTTGCCAATGCTCTAAATTCATCTGACAGCCTCATCACAGGTTATGTCAACAAATATAGTGTTTCCTATTTGATTTTCAAAGAATGGCACAAAAACTTTGGAATGGGAATGAGGAAAGGAGAGATAGAGTGATTGGGGACAATGTCAGCTACTTTGTGCCATCTTCCTCTGAAATTTGAAGATTCGGGATGTCAGAGGGAAGTATGATATTATTGTAGAAAAAGAGACAAAAAAATCACAATGTTGTGTCACTAAAATCATGCTAATAGAAATGTTTTTCTTTGAGGTTGTTTAGGGACTCCAAAGGAACATTTCTGTGTGTGTGTGTGTGTGTGTGAGTGTGTGTGAGCATGTGAGTTTGCTCATATGAGCATGTGTGTGTTATTCATGTGTGTAAGTGTGCATGTGTGTGTGCATTCAGCTTGCTAAAATTTGTTCTGAGACATCAGGGAATCTAATATCCAGAAAATAAATTTCCCTCTTAGATCTGTTCACTGAAAATTTCTCCATGAAGTATAAAGTTCAGTTAGTAAGTTCTGAAAGTGAGGTCACTTGCATGGCAGGGTCCTATAAAGCTTTTGACAAAGTCTAGAACATTTTCTGATGTGAATACTTTTAAAGGAAAATCTTTGGCTCATTAACGATATCAGTATCTCAAGGCAAGTTAATTGAGGATTTTTTTTTTTTTTTTTTTTTTGAATCATGGGTACTTCAGTTATTTATACAAGACAAGTATTAAATTGACAGTTACCAAATTCCCTTCTCATCATCCTCATTACTATTTATTTTATAGCACGTCTACTACGTGTGGACCAAGGTGTTGGCTTCTGTGTTAGTATGGAAAGAATAAATTGTTGAAATTATATGCCGAGACTCATTCGGTTCACAGGAAGCCCCCAAAAGAACAGTAAATTGTGTTGTATGTTCATTTGGAATAAAGCAATATTTTTACCACTGCTAAGGTGAACTGAAACCTCTCCTGAAGATTTGTCTGATTTATTTACCCTAATTTTGATGGAGCATTCAAGGAAATTAGTGTTCACATAATCAGTCCTTTTCCAATTTTTGGTGGTGTTGAGTTGTTATGTTTACACTGTTTTAAATAAAAAGGCACAATATTTGAAAGTATGTAGAAGATTCTTTTACTATAGTTTGGGAAACCACGGATAAAATGCCCCTTTGGAAGGTTAACATTCCAGAGAAAGGGCATTGGGTTGAAACTATTTTTTTTAATCAAACATAGAATATATAAATTCTTATTTGAGGTTAAGTTGTTTCTGCTGAAAATATGTTGCAAATGTCTCTTTGAGATCACTCTTTAATAATAGATAGATATAATACCATTTAAGGAAATTAAAGCATACTATGTTCTTATCAACAGTGTTTAGTAAAAATTCAAGGTCTCAAATGTTTGAAACACTTGGGTAGGACTGCATTTTATGTTTAACATACAGGTGTGTAATATTTATTTATTGCCCCATTATACTTCTGTGGCTTTGAATAATGAGGAGTTATTAGATTATTAAAATATTGATACAATTTTTAATGTCTAAATCATGTAAATTCTCATTTAAAATACTTTATCTTTGGGAAAAACTTAGAAGATGACTTTAATTTATAATTATATAAAAATCCATAGATTGAGTATCCAATACATTAAAATTGTCAAACATTGGTTGGCCAATGAAGTCAATATTATTCTTGTTTTTGTTTTTACCAAAATGATACATGTTGCTTATGAAAATGATTCATGCAGAATTCACCTAGTAAGCAAGTTGTTGTTTTTGTTGTTGTTATGTGCCATTGAGTTAGACCCAACTCATAGCTATCCCTCCTTGGATTTCCGAGGCGGTATCACTACGGAAGTAGATTGCCCAACCTTCCTTCTGAAGTAAGCAAGTAGGAGAAGTTATTTTAATATATTATTTACTCTGAAAATATTGAAGATTGTCAATCACACATGTATTTTGATCCAACCCCATTATTGCAAAAATGAAGTAGAAACATATGTTATTATATAGCCCCTGCACATTTCAAGGAAAATGAACATCAAGCACTCCCTCCAGTAACGGGCTGTAAAGTTTAGAATTGTGGCTAATTGCTTAAAAGATAGTCAAGATAAGATTCTCCTTAAAGAACAAGTATTAATGGTTACTTTCAGCGGTTATTTGTCTTTTTTTTTTTTTTTTTTTAAACTTAACCTCTACTGTGAAAAGTCTCCAAAGCTCAAAATATCCATCTTTGGGCACCAGTTCACAAACATTGATGCCATCAAAACTTTCAAAGCTGATCTAACAAGGCAAACACCTGGAGCCATCAATGCATTATCCTTGAAGCTCATATCACTATGAGAAGTGTTTATCTCCACAAGACACCTTTGATTTTCCTGTCTTTATTGTATGAATAGATAATTAGAGGTTTGTAATTAAGTAGGTTGCATATCCATTGCTTACTGGACGATGAATGTCACCTACTATTTTTTTGAAGTACTTTCTGATATGTCTCTTTTTATAAACAATATGTTATACTAAATTGCTGATGACTGCTGTGGAATGCTGTTGCTCAAAATACATGACCAATTTATGCTCATTAGAAAGAATAGAAATTATACTGAAAAATCAAAATCAGCATTTTCCTATGTACACTAAGTGCTCTTATTTTTATACTTTGACTCAGTTTGTTGTTGATTAAGGGCTTGATATTTGTAGATTACTGCACTTCCAATGACTTAGAATATATCTAAATAGGGAGGTCCTCTGAAAAGGAAGAGGGTTATATTTACAACTTCACTAATTAGTCAGTTTTTTTTTTTTTTTAAATTAGGATTTGGGTGAAGATTTACAGAGTAAATTCACTTTTCATACAGCAGTTCACATATACTTTGTCTCATGTCATTGACCAAAATTTACAATGCAGCAGCTCCCCTCCCACTTCCTCCCCATAGTTACCTCCTCCCAGTGTCCATCCCTTCATACTCTTCTGCACCCTGAGAGGCCCATTGTCTGCCAACCCTGTATATGATCTTGGATACACTCTCCATTTAGACATACATAATTGTTTAGCTTGTTCACCCATCTATCCGTCCCTATACCCATGTTTGCTTTCATTGACAACTCAGTATTGTATTTGCAAAGGGGTTCATATTTGTTGTTTGTACTGCCCATGTAACTCTCTCTGTCTTTCTCATCCTCAATGCTGCCATATTGGTCACTCACATTTGGTACATTGCCCTTCTCTTCACCCAAATCAATATTTATCTCTATCTATCTAACAGCATTCCCTCCCCTTCCCTCCCACCCCTGGTAACCAACAAAGAAAATGTCCTCCAATATATAAAACTTTCCTTAACTTTCACAATAACGGACTAATACAATATTTGTCCTTTTGTGACTGACTTATTTCGCTCAGCATAATGTCCTCCAAGTTCATCCACGTTATGCGGTGTTTTGCAGATTCTACATTATTCTTTAGCGTTGCATAGTATTCCATTGTGTGAATGTACCAAAGTTTGGTTATCCATTCCTCAGTTGTTGGACATCTAGGTTGTTTCCAAGTTTTGGCTATTGTAAATAGTGCTGCGATGAACATCGGCGTGCATATATCTGTTCTTGTTATGGCTCTCACTTCTTGAGGGTATATACCTAGTAATGGGATGGCTGGGTCAAATGGTATTTGTATTTCCAACTTTTGAAGGAATCGCCATACTGCTTTCCACAATGGTTGTACCATTTTACAGTCCCACCAGCAGTGTATGAGAGTCCCAATCTCTCCACAACCTCGCCAGCATTTGTTATTTTCTGTCTTGTTGAACTTTGCTACTAGTGCTGGAGCAAGATGGTATCTCATTGTTGTTTTGATTTGCATCTCTCTAATAGCTAATGATCGTGAGCATTTCTTCATATGTTTGTTGGCCGCTTGAATATCCTCCTTGGTGAAGTGTCTATTCATGTCTTCTGCCCATTTTTTAATTGAATTGTTTGTCTTTTTGTTATTGAGGTGTTGGAGTGTTCTATAAATTCTAGAGATAAGTCCCTTGTCAGATATGTTATTACCAAATATTTTTTCCCAATCTGTAGGTTCTCTTTTGACTCTTTTGGAGAAGTCTTTGGAAGCACATAAACATTTAATTTTTAGAAGGTCCCAATCATCTGGCTTCTCTTCTGCTGTTGGTGCATTTTGAATTATGCTTGGTAGTCTATTTATCACTAATTAGTCAGTTTTGATAGTGATAAAATATCACAATGACCAAAAAGAGAATACTATGGCAAGTCAACTGCAAAAGAATATTCATTGGCTACCAGATTGAATGACAGTTAAAATCTAAGTAGAAGAACCTCTTGTGAGCATGTCTAAGGCTACCAGACGCAGGCCTTGTTCACATCTACTGTGCGGTGTGGTGTTATGGGACCCATACATCCTAAGTGAGCGGAATAGAGGTGCCTTTGATTCCAACCATGAAGCATCTGACTGCTAAGCAGAAGGCTAGCAGTTCAAACCCACCAACCACTCCTTGGAAGGAAGACTGGGCAACCTACTTCCGTAGAGATACTGCCTTGGAAACCCAAAGAGGGGGTTTCTAGGAGTCGGAATG